TGTAGATCAATTATGGTCTTTGACACATGATCAAATCGGCCCTTCTATTGTGGAACATATTCCGAATAAGACCGACAAATGCTATCAAAGAGAGAGAGAGAGGGAGAGAGAGAGAGAGATGGGGTTTAACGTCCACTCGACACAAACTAGGTCATTTCGGGACTAACATGGTTTAATTTAATTTCAATAATTCGTATGGGTCTTTAACAGTGGGAGGAAACAGGAGGACCCGCGTAAATAAGGACTTGCTCATCCCAAAGATCAAAATACTAACAGTTATTGAGTATTTAACAGATCGTATGCGCATTGTTAAAATCAAAGAATGGAACATAAAGCAACGCCGAGCATGGTCATTTGAGATCGCAATACTAAGCACAGATATAACAAAATACACAGTGATTACAAATTTAGAACACCGCGTGGTGCAGCACTATCCGTCGGTCGAATATGGAAAGCGGTGCCGCTAAATTGTTTACCACATCCGACGTGTGACGAATTCCGTGCTACACATCTATTATTAGCCTGCGATCGTCTAGGTTTGCCTCTGGCGTGGATATTATTGTAATTCTCCTCTCTTGGACTTCACTATACTCTTGGACTTCACTTGAACTTCCCCCATTGCGTACGCATTCTATCAGGAACAATATTACAACAGTTTATTTTCTACATTTTATGTCAAAGCAGGATACATGGTTACAAGCGTAGACTACATAAATAACATGTCTCCCATTCTATCTCAATCCTAGAAATGGATCCACTACTGATGTCTTCCGCCTTACTCCAGCCACAGTAGTGGTTCGACCTATTCAAATGACTACAAAAAAGTTATTGGCCTGTAGCTCCCTTACTTTACACATAAACTAATCCAAAACTGCACTGCACATAGCTTAACATATAATAAATCAATTTCCATTGACATAAAGGTGTAGCCTTACCGCATAATTATATGATATGATACCCAACTGCTACACGAAATTTCTCGCCTACCGAACTTATTTCAACGAACGCATTACCGGTACCACAAATAAAAACTGTTCGGTAACTATTTTAGTGGTCCAGTCCTCACTATTTGTGATAGAATTACTTATTTCAATACAAACTGTAATGATATGTGTTGACAATTGTGCGTTTGAACATATTTGAACTTGCGCAAGGAGTCTTAGACTGTACCAATTGTAGCGTTCAACACAGTTTAACGATACATTTAATTGTAGCTATCTAAATTCCACTAAATTCACCGAGCGAGTTTGCTGATGGAAACCTCACATCATGGTTCTAATATAAATTAAACGGTATCTAAAGGTGTCTGGCTATTTGAGTCCTGGTTTATAGGACCCAGCCCTCACTTTATTACGTCATATCCTGATCAAAGTTCCAATTTCCAAATACGGGCGGGGATTATTAACTGATTTGATCCACAAACTACCTTTCATCACTGTTGGTGCAGTTTCATAAACAAGAGAGGATATGATATTATTTCTGACCATGAAGAAGACATATTATGGCAAATGTGTTTATTAACCTGTAGTTCATGTATGGTATCAATATACCACAGATTTCCGTTGGTTTACGTGATATCTAACTTGTTTATGTCCAGGACATACTATTGTTACAAGTCTCATATTCCACTAACGTTATTATTCATACAGCATAAATATTCTAACTCTATTACTACAATGGATTTAGTATATTATCAAACTATCACTTCATGAATATTTGGAGAAATAAATGGCATCTTTCATACTTACGAGTGTTGGACTATGGCACTGGGTTTTTTTAGTCAGAAATACTATAAAAATCATGCAATAGAGACAGGAAAACACAAAATTAAAAAAAAACCTAAATTTTATTAAATTAGTAATTCTTGTTCCAACCTGGATCATTACTTTAAGAATAGGCATGTCCAAACAAACGCCGTAGCATGTTCCACAACATAGGATCCGTTGGGTGGAGATCTTTGCGCTGCTACGGCGACGGAAAATGGTCTCAGAGCGCATCAAGATCGCTATAAGCGTGGTAAAAACGTGGTGGAAACGCCAAATTTCGTGCTGTGGTCTCCATGGTCGCCAATGATCGCCGAGTCACGGCGTTTGTTTTGAGCATGTTCAAAACAAACGCGAAGGTTCTGCGATCTGACCTGGACAGCTGTGAGAACGCGACTTTTTTCAAGTTTGTAATTTTTGGGACACTTTCTTGCGTTGTGTTCACGTTTGCCGGCGACCTTATGCATTTTCTAGTCGCCGTACGGTCGCAGTAGCGCAGTAAGAACGCCAACCCGGTCTGACGGGGGCATAAGCCATATTCATTTCCCAAATATTTAAATATACATTACAACTCGCTCACTAAATTCCGAAAATTCTTCCATTCTTTCAAACAATAGACCACTGAAATCGTTCATCGCAAAATTCCCACTTCTTATAAACATACTAGGCCCTTTAATTGTCAGAAATAACTGTTTATGTCGACCCCATATGATGAAGTATTTTGCGCATTACATAATAATTAGTACGGTCTAAATTGGCATTTCTATGAAAAACAAATATATATGTTTTCCTTCAGTCGCTGTGTCTCATCCAACAATTGTCCAATGGATTTAATCTATTTTCCGTAGTATTCATTGTAGGTAAAGGCATATTTTGGGATTTCCATTGCATTTTTATTACCACATTCAGCAAATTTGGACCAAATTCAAAGATCAAACCCCAAGTTAGCATGCATTGGTTAAGTTGCATTCAGTGAAAGGAATCATTTCGGTAAACTAATTCTTTGTAGTCGAGTCACCAGATGGGATGAGAGTTATATTTTTAAACAATTTTTGATGTCTTCATTAGTTTGGTTAATTCGACAATGGATTGGGAAATGATGTCCTTTTGAAGCATATCATGCTGGGAGTGACAGATCCCAGGTCCTGCATTTTGGTAATCCGTGACAAGTAGGCAGTAGGTGTCACTCGTCACTCTCTCGTCCTGTCAACAATGTGAACTTTTCATTAGAAATAAAATAAACAAAATCATTTTCACCGTTGGGGATATTCTCTCCTTCTTATAAAGAACGCCCAGGACTTCACTGTTCTAATGATGGAAAGACTTAACTGATCCACAGACTGGTCGAACAACTTAACGGTTAGATGCATCATGTAGGAACTAAATCTGGCTATTGTAGGTTTTATTTCTAGCTTCAAGCCCATAATATATCTTCTAAGCCATCGGATGGCTTAGATATTGAATGAATTAGAACGCAATCGCTATTTACTAATTTAACGCTAAAATGGATATTAGCTTATTGATCTTTGGGGTATATTCTATGTCCGGAATAACTTGTGGTCTGAGAGTCGGGGAGAGGGGGGGGGGGCTATTGATATGTACAAGTGAATTTGAGGTTAATTTTCTGAAAGTTTTTCTTTAAACCTATAACGAGTTATTCTTTCAGGGCAGGTTTTTTTGAATAAGAAAACATAAGGTATTTCTTACGGGAATTCTGGGATATTCTCATCTTGCGTACATGTATACCGGTCTCCGTTTTTCTTTTTTTCAGGTTATTTTCTTCAGTCTTATTCTCTAGCATAGCCTCAGTCTCGTTCTTTATCCTGCACATATTGTATAATATGGCCTCAAGTTAATTGGAAGAAAAACTATAGCGGGGACATCTGGAATAACTCTTTGTTATTGCCACCGCCTAATAGATGGTCATTTCGGGACTAACATGGTTCAATTTTATTTCAATACTTCGCTAGCGCGTGGAGGGTTTTAGCAGTGGAGGGAAACCGGAGGCCGCGTTTATTCATTTAGGTGGTAATCACCGCGACATCGTCACCCGTGAATATATACCGGAGAATTTGTTCAATAGTGACATCATTCGAAGAATCGGGAATGACGGTCTACATCTAAGATTAATCTGAGTATGGCTGTAAAGGGAGATAACTGGGTAAATATTTGGAGGCAGACCACCGGTACCCACGAATTGTAGTTCGTCTATTTATAGCAATTCTCTCTCTCTCTCTTTTCTCCCCTTTTGCATGCCCATTTGTGTTGATTTTTTGGTCTAGAATGGATGAAGAGGGTTTGAATTAACATTTTCTGCCAGGTTTTGGTAAATATTCATGATTTTGAGGCGGAAGGATAAGAGGGTTATCAGGTTAGCTACGGCGATATGTACGGCAACTAGTTACATGTTTTTAGTATGCTTCTTCAAGTTTGTGTATCTCAAAATTTTGGTGGTCAACCTCATACAAATTTTAGTGCAAAGACATGACCATTTGTTCCTCTGTCTGTAGTGGAAAACATTCAGCCCAACGAAAATTTGGGGAAAAGTTGGAGGTGGGCAAATAGGCCAGAATTAACATTGAAGTCAATGGGGAAATTAATGGTGGTCTGCCTCCATTTCAGTTTTCTGCAAATTATAGAATATTCGTTGCAGTTATTATACTAATGTACTGCTATTTGACGATATTAGCTTGTTATTTCATATTAATGAGTAGTATTAGATAGGTATTCGGTAGTATTGGGTTATTATTTGCATGTTTTGGGTGATGGGGGGGGGGGGAGACGGTGGTTAAGTTTGTAGACGCTGGCTCGCTAGCCTGAAGGTCGGGTGTTCGATCCCTGCATTGGCCGAGAAAGTTCATCCAGATTTTCCGGTGTGGTCCCCTCCTTGTCAGTGATGCAGGACGGAGGGGGGTGGCTGAGAAGGACAGTTGTCTAGTCGTTCGGATGGGACGAGAAACCGAGGTCCCGTATACAGGGGGGGGGGCAAATGGAGCAGCCAGACTTCAGTAATCGGTTTTGAAGCCCATTTCCCGCGATACAACTCACTATTTTTGAAAAGAATTAAGTAATATGCCCATTTAGTATCATTATGTTGTAGTATTGGGTAGTATGTGGTGTTACCGGTGTGCTATTGGGGTGATATTAGGTAGCATGAGTAGTATTGAATAGTATTGGGTAGTATTGGGTAAATCGTCCAGCCCATTTGTAAACAACAATAATACATATCTGCATACAAATATTGATAAAACAATATTATAATTAGCGTATTTACATATATACAATATCCGTAATGATGTCAAACAATAAATTGGCGATTACACATGAAGCAACTAAAATTATGAGTAAACTTATCAACATTTTTGACTTTTTTTCTTATAAACAAATTTCCATACATATTAGAAACAGTGTATCCATGTATTTTAGATGCAGCAGTCTGTTTAAATCCCAATCTCTCTGTATCTGAAAGCACACATGAAACATGTACGACTGTAGAAACACTAGACTCTTTTGAGGGGATTTTTAGATTCTTACAGAAAAATTTTTCTCACTTTCAAATCACTAATACTGTGTTATTTAATCATACGTTTTCAATCTTACTCTCTTCGAAAGGGTATTTTAAACAATATATGGAAATCGCTGACAAATTGAAATTCAGTGCTAAGTTTTACTAAAACTTTCCGCTCTCCTAAATTCGGCAGGTTCTCTAGATTAGAGAACACACCTTAAAACCCACAATTCCTTTGACAAATCAGAAAGTTCACTAAGACATTAGCCAATTCTAGATCTTAAAATGGATAACGAAGATTGAGACAAACGATTGCAATTTTTTAAAAATTCCAACGCTGGAGACATTTGTTTAAAAATTATATACATACTGACAAATGTTTTACATGAAATCTACTTTTACTTTACATGACAAATGAATAAATATTTTTATAATAAGGCAAATTGTGATGTTATGTACAATGTTTAACAGAATTAGGCTTGATTACACAACCAAACATAATCTATTATGAAAGTCCGTAGCTAGCTGTGACAACAAAAGTCGGTACGAGAGAAACTATTTCCGCCATTACTCTAAAGTACACACGTTTAGGGACTATAACTTCTTAATACAATTTAACAACATTATGGAGAAAAGGACAGGATTCAGAACACTAATGAAATTGCGAATTTTTTCATTGGGTTCACAAATAAATAGCCTATGTATATATTTATTAGCATAGGTAGGGAAAACGCGAAACCTTTCCAGATTTGGCATATAAAATGAATTAGAGCGTGTGATTTTGCTAAACCATATTTGAGTTTTTCATTGTCCTTTACCGTTTTCACGTGCACGTCGACAGTTTCAACAAGAGTTTATTTATAGCACAAATATGTTTTATCAATTGAAACTATAATAACATAGTATATAGCAAAATGCTCAGACCCTTTTTAAACTTCGGTGACCTTTTTCTTGTAACCGGCTAAAGGCATATCAAAGCTATAACAGTCACTAACTGATACGTTGTCTATATCAATATCGTCTAATAAACCACCATCAATATCACTGATAGCTTCATTGACAAAAAAATCATCATCACTCATAACACCTGGTCTATAATTATCATACTCAGATTCGTACGCCGCGGAACCCGAATCACAATTCACTGCCGCATCACAATTAGACATTTCACTACTACTTGCTAGCGATGAGACACTAGTGTTATCCGCCGTCATCGGCGTTTTACCAAAAATAAGCGGCATTAAGTAGGCGTGCCTGGCTCTAGGGCTACCGCAGGCCGAGGAAGCATTCGAGGCATAGTCATCCCTGTCGCCTGGGATGTAGTCCAAACTACGACAATGGCGAGGAGGTATGGTGTAGGCTTGACGTCGTTTGATTTGATATGGATTAATTGAATACCTGTTGCGTCCACCCTTTTTGTCAGTATTATCTTTAGTGGGTGATTTGCCGTCTCCGTTCCCTTCACTAACGATGTCATTAGATTTTTGACGATTGCGCAATATGCGGTTCCGGTCCGAATTCTTTTGCAACGGATGACGTATATAATCACTATCTTCAGTGAGTTCATAAATTAGATCATTCAACGATGATGATGCTGATAAAATGGGAAATTTAGGCGTCGGTGGACATCGCGGAACACCGTCCACGGCTTCGCTAGAGCGTGAAAAATGTCTGTCTAAACTGTTAAGTGTAACACCACCTAAGGGTTTGTAGTCCAGTTCAACGTATTTGACATCCGGGTGATTGAGGTTGCGAATATTAGCGGATTTTGAGTTCTTTAAATGTATTGGTTGCAGGTGAACAATAGAGGAATGATCACTCATTGGCTTGGAACTAACCGAGTCTTTATCACTATCTGAATTAGTGGGCACAAAATCTTTTTTACTTCCATCCGGGGATGTAACTGGTGACTTTTTGGTAGCTATGCTAGGTGTAAATCGAGCAGGGGGTATATATTTAGCCATAACACTCGTTTCACCATCGCGAACTACACCAGTCGCAGAAATCTGATTGCCTTCCAAGAAGGGGAGCAATGACATCGTTTTCCCGTCGATGCTTGCCACAAGTCCTGAGGTAGGCGTTAAAGTCGATCCGGAAGAACCACTCTCTTTTGAACCGGATGAACTTCTCCTGATTTCCCCTGGTGCTTTGAAGGCTTGTTTCACGGGCGATAATTCAATTTTGTCTGAGGATCCGCTGCTTCTTTGTGACGGTGTATGGGAAGGCGACTTCTCCAAGGGTTCTCGGTACGTGCCAATCACAAACTTCTCCTCCGGTTGTTTTGCCTGCGATTTTGGCCTATGTTTTGATTTTAAAAGTGGTTTGTTTGGATTTGCAGGATTAACTATTTGGCCAAGTTCTTTCATCATGTCCGACATTTGATGGTATTCTATCACTGGGATTTCCTTATGGGATTGAGCATTGATTTGTGATTTGTAGTCCTCATCTTCTGAGACTTCCATTGGTGGTGGTTTCAGAGGATGTTTCATGGGTTGGACAATTCCAGCATATACAAGAGGTGTCGGTCGGGCGTATTGCAGAGGGTTACTAGCGGTAGGTGGTTTTGTAGCTTCTGGAGGAACTCGGTGAACGGGTTGAACAGTAGCTACCTGTATCCGAGTACCAGGAACACTGTTGCTCTTTGTCATCTTGGACACTGGTGGCTTCATCTCCGGACTTTCGGACTTTTTGGCGTCGATGCATTTTAATCCATCGAACAGAAAGTTCTGGATCGCTGGATTGCGGTTGTTCTGCATTTTCACATTCATGTAATGGACAGCTGGTAGTTCAGGAGACTCTACCCGCGTTGAGGTGGGTTCGCCAGCAATACAATTTGTAAGAGAAGAATTACTGAGTTTTCTCTGTGGCTTCCGTCCTGCATCCTTCGGACTATCAGTGCCGCCATTTTTACGTTTCTTATTTAAACTGCTTGTAGGTGTAGCCCCGCTTCCTCTTTGAGAATCCAAACTAGGCTGCCTCTCTAAACACAGTGCTACCATATTTGGAGTCACTCGTCCTTGGGAACCAAGTGATCCGTGACGAGGTATTTCTCTTAAGTTGCTACCACTACCTTGACGGACAATGGCTGTTCCGTCTCGCGAGGGGGGCCGCGGGAAACGGGGACTATCAGGGGTCAAAGGTGAAGGATTGTCCTGGAAGATCTGACCGGATTTTCTGCCCACTAGAAAGTAAGTGATCATTTCTCCCTTTCCCTTAACGGTAATACGCCCTCTACATTTAAAATCGTACATATCTTTTAGTGCAGCATAAACCTCCTCTGTTACCTGCGAGAAAAACACAAAACATTAATAATCAATAGTTCAAAAAACTCTTCCCTATATCAATAATAACGATGCCGTTTAAATCGAAATAACTGCAGCATAAGTCTACAATATCAAATAACCTAAAGACATTGAAAAAGAAAACACCACTGCGATAGTATTTTTTGATTTGGAGAGGATTGGATTTTGAATACTATTGTATATAATAATAAGAATGGTCCATTTGCAACGCGCTAGACCCACATACAACGGTTCATATACCACAGTTTTTGCTAATATTTAGTAATAGAGTTCAATCAAATATGTCTTTAGGCGAGATTTGAATTGACTCAAAGTCGAAATGGATGGAAGTTCATCTAATATATATAAAACTTATTTTGATTCTTATTGTTATTCTTTTCCTTAGGTGGCATTTAGCGATTGAGAAACACATTAACAGAACACAATTTATACAGAAAACATAGAAACAAGCACGACATTTCGACTTAGTGTCCTCTTATTGGGATCAAGTACAGTGACATTACATTTGATATCCATATCAATGATACTGTCACTGGCTTCACCATGAATATCATATGGACCTCAACTTTACCAAATCCCACTGTGCGTGATAACGACAAGAGGATACTTGTTGAAACGTCGTGCCTATATAATAAACTAGAGGTTGTTTCCCATAACATTTGTGTTCCGTTAAAGTCAATGAAGGTACAATCCAGATAAAGTCCCACCTGTATATGGTCTGGTTTACCAGTACTCTCCATACGACTTGCCACATTAACAGTATTACCCCAAATGTCATACTGTGGTTTCCGTGCTCCTATAACACCAGCTACGATTGGTCCAATATTCATGCCTACAACGAATAATATATTAGTTTACATTGCAATAGATGTTGGGTTGAGTGAACAAAAACATGTAATTCTACCCCATAAAATAAGTTTGATATTTTCATTTATTCTATAAGACGACTGGTAAAGAAATTCTCAACGGAGTTCGCATGAGACTATCATATGATGTATAAATGCGTGCGGGGTTGGGGTGCGAGGTTGGGGGGGGGGGCTACTCTTGTTGAAATGGTATCTTATGTTTACTACTGTTTGTACACGGCTCCGCGTAATTTCGTCCAAAGCCCAAGACAATGCACACACTATTTAATCCCTGGGTTCAACACCCGTATTCGAGGCTGGGGTATTTTCAAGAATTTTTTAGTCCAGTTTAAATCAAATTACAATTTTGTTTCTTACAATCAAGTACAACGAAAATACACTGAGTAAAGTAAAATTCTACTAAATTGATATTAAGAGACTGAAACCAACCTATTTTCATTACAAAGTTGTTATAAGAATTTTCATTAATAATTCTCAATTTATCTTTCATTGCAAACGCAAATTCCACCAACAGAGCGAGAGAATGGGTGACAGACGTATCATTATCCTGAAGAAAAAAACAATAAATGAACATATTTGTATTTAACCATCACTAATCCAATTGTGGGCAAAAACCATGATATCAGAAGCTCACACACAAAAGACGGTGCTTATGTCGCTCTACGACACGGCACGACAGAACTATCGGAAATCAGTAAAAACAGCTCAGGTATGTCGTTTACGATTAGAGATAGGTAAAAACTGATAAAAATGATTGGTCTGAATCATAACTGTGCGGCCGACCAGTATTGTCGACTGAAGCCATCTGCCGTTAACGTGATCAGCCAAAAAGATGGTCTTCCCATATCGCGGTAGTATCATGTGACGTGTAAACCATTGGATAAATCAGTCTGACAGCCACAGATGAAATCCTGTGTACAACCGGTCTTAAAAGTGGAATAGGTGTATCTCACAAGAAACTAGGTAAAACTGTCTGAGTCTAGTTGACCATGGTCAAAAACTAGTTTTAGATACACACGTTCTGATGTTTTCCGGGTTGTTCAGACGGATCAGATTTTCTTGGACATCGATAGCTGCTGATGGCCCAGTTGCAACTAGTTTGTGCTCGTGGTAAGATCGACATGAGATCGAAAATTATAAAATGTGGACGTAATTGTACTACAGCTTGTTCTTATGATAATTATATAAGTTGACATACCTGTATTATGTATTCAGGCATCAAACCAATAGAAGCCATATATGTACTACCTATAGTCTTTATCTTATCAATAGCACGAAATCTCGGTGCATTTAATAACTGAAAAATATACCATATCACAAAATGACTATACATACATCCAAACGACAATGGATAGTGTATGAAGATGTATCTGGTAGCCGTTAATTTTAATTCAAATTTCAAATTATGGCGTAAATTTAACATTTAAGAAGAATGGCAATAGTATTTTAATTACCTCGTCAAAATCCGCTATGATCTCATTTAAAACTCTTAAACATTCCATTCCCTGGTTGTTGGCATCTAGTTCAGTATAAAAATCTGAGAAATTTGGAATCGATGAAAAGAAGACACCGACTTTGCTGTATTGTTGACTATATAGGTCCTGTAAAACATTAATCTATTAATAGGATCGTTTCTTGTCCAACCCGACCAGATTGAAGCTTAGCTATACAATATAATTAAACATACAATCATTGTTTGAAAATGTCTCTTTCTGTAGTGTTTCAATTTGCATTATGTTAGATTTAGATAAAGAGCTGTCCCTTCTTGCTATAATAGTTCAAAAATAGATGAGGAGAACTTAATACATTGAAAATCTCAGTCAAAATACTTAGGAGTGTTTAAACTTTTGACAGAAATAGCCAATTGACAAGTATCATACGGTCAGTCCTTTGATTAAGAGACCTCCATTGTAATGTTAATCCATTATACGATCCGGGTGGTCTAATCTATTTAATACCCCAGTCATCCAATGATCTAAAGCGTTGATTATGGTCTTGTTATTTTAATAATGTCTAAATACAAATTTATATAAAATTCCAAGCCCCCCCCCACCAATAAAAGATCTGCAATATAGGCATATTTAGCTCTTGCATAATGCATCTTTAATATTTGCAAACAAATGAATATAAAACTAGAACAACAAGAGAAAAAAAAACATAACCCAAGGTAATCCTAAATTAAACTCCTGGGGCCTGTTTCACGAAATTTTAACTAAGATAAAATCCAAATTTTAGTAATTTGATTGGATAATATTAGACTGATTTTAGTGCTTAGCCAATCAAAATTGAAGTATCTACTAAAATTTGGATTTTATCCTTAGTTAAGATTTCCTACACTTTATTTTAATTAATGGGATAAACAGATTCATTCATTAAAGTAGTTAACGAATCATGTAACAGACATTATTATTATTCAAACATCCTTACTTCAGTTTCTATAATTCGATGTGGCAAGCACCACTAGAAATGGCAGGTAGTATTATTTTAATGTATGTACAGTGGTGAGATTAACAGTGTCTTACCATGAAGTTGACGCGTTGCTTATCAACAAAATGACAGGCAACATGTGAGGGTAACATGTTACACAATATATTCCGATTATTTACTTGTAACTCTGTCATTTCGATTTTTTCTTCTGTAGCCTGAAACACAGATAAATCCCATAATCAAATAATAAAAAATAATCGATTTTATCAGAATTTTAAAACAACAAAAAATAATCGATCTTATCAGAATTACAAAGTATTAAAAAAAATCGATATTTTCAAAATTATGGAATAATTAAATTAATTGAAAACTTAAAGGACCTAAATCACTTTGCTTTAGGTTAAAACAAAGTTTATTGAATTGGGTTGATGTGCCTTCTTATTTTCATTAGTGATGAGGCGACATCAAAAGATGGTCATCACAACACACGTCAACAAATAAAATCCAATGAAATTGACAATTTAAATGTTTACACAAATCAAAAGAGCTTAGACATTTTAATTAAGTAGGATCATCGATTAAAGAATAAGTGTGTTAGTATAAATATATACCTGAACTTTCCACAAGAAGTCTAGTCTTGATGTCCATTCTTGTTGTCGTCCTTGTATATACAACGTTATCATAAATATTATGAGTACAACAATACCAATCACATTACTAGGCACTATAGGACTGAAATATATAAATATCATGTTATATCGTTAAACGACATTTAAAAGTAGTGGTATACAATTCAGAATAACACAGCTATATGGATTTACTCTACTCGTGAATTTATGTTATGCAACCTTTCAATCAGTGCCTATTTTGGTGATGTCCTAGGGACAACTCCTTTGTTGTATGCTCCCAAGACTCAAGTATAGGGCCTAGTAGGCTACTCAGAAATGTAAGAAAGGAAGATATTTTAAATATGTAAAAACAGACGAAATAAACTTTTTATTCAAATTAAAAAGGGCAGCTTGTACACCAAAGTCAATAACGTTAATTTTAAATTGCAAAACATTTAATAGATGCCCGGGGCCATTGCTTCCTCTGTTCCCTCGTGGTTGTAATATCTAATGTCCGTGATTATTTGGATTATTACTTGATACATATAACATAATATTATTATTACATTTTATTCTGAAACTAATCTCCCGATTCCAACATGTACACTCACTTAACATTAAACATACCTGGTTTTTACATCGAACTTCAAAAACAGGAGATCATGTGTATAGACCATCTGAACAACATAACCACCGGCCATCATCAGCATTAGAAATAACTTAACTAAAGCTGAGAGTTTTAAAAACACAGAGACCGTAACAAAACCCATTAGACAACTCATATAAATATAAGGTGGAAAATCACATGATAAATGATGATCGCTAGAAGATGTCGTAAATGTTACATTCGCCAGAAAGTTGAAGAAATTGCCATCTCTACAGCACAACTGAAACGATGAAATATATAAATCATTAAAACAGAAAGACAAAAATTCCTACCTTTTTAAGAATACGAAGATGGGTTGCAAAACAACGAAACATTACATGATGAGGGCGTATGAAAACATTCCATCAAAAAACGGCTTTGATTAATCAGTAAATGGTGGAACACTTAATATTTACATATGGTGCAAATCCTGTCATGAAAAATATTGCTATACAATAGCAAGGGTTAAATTCTTAAAATATTTTAGTTTTTGTGAATAAGACCCCTGGCTACTATACAATAAATAATGTTTAAAGATCGAAACTTTCTAAATATTAAATTATCTACTTACTACATTAATTTGAGCTGTTGCATAGATGAGTAAAATCGTCGTAACCATAACAAACAAACGTATACAAGATGATCGCCGTATATCAAATAATGTACACTGAAAAACAAAGAAATAAACAATCGATTATAATATATACAGAGAGTCGCGGTGTCTCAAGGCCCAGGCTCTGTGAGTAAGGCGCTGGGATTTCCATGCCTGTTTGTCCTCTGGCTAGTGGTACAAAATGGAGATTCTGCCATGGCACAGCGCCTGGTCGTTCGGATGAGACGTAAAAGTACGCTTGACAGTTAGAATTCGATGTCCGACAGAAAAGCAGGAAGTTAAACTCCCATAGTTAATTTAACTGACGGATTCTAGTGATGACTGAGAAACACCTTTTAATAATTTGGGAATAGCTAATAGTCAACATCGAATGGAACTACATATTATTTTAATTCTAGTCCTGTAATAGAAATGCCAAATACATGGATGTGGTACTTTTTGAGCACATTTTATCCCCAACTGTATTTATTTCAAATATAATGAATGTAATTATATACGATTGAATAAGTAAAGATTAATACTTAGAATAAGTGTAGAACGTACCTTAATATTAATACTTAGATTAGGTGTAAACCTACCTTAATATTAATACTTAGAATAAGTGTACCTTAATGTTAATACTTTGAATAAGCGCCAGCGTAACTTAATATTTATACTGAGGGTAAGTATAAACGTACCTTAATATTTATACTTAGAATAAGTATAAGGATAATAGAAATCCAGGTAAAAGTTGCTAAAAACATCATTAATAATAACAAAGTTCTGAAAAAAGATTTATAAAAATAAATTATAATAATTAGAACGTTCTTGGTGCTGATTATGTAATATTCCGATAAAGAGTAAGCCGTTCTTCCGATAATATTTCAAAAATAGATATGTTGAAAATTTCAGTCCATTTACTTAATTCTGATTGAAGATATTAACGCAGTAAATAGTTTCGATTATCAAGACCATTGTTATGTGAATAAATGTCATAATAATGATTTATAAAATATTTTAAAACATAAAAAAGACCTGTATACATTAAAAACTACATCATTATAATAACAAAATTTTACAAAACATCATCAATAAAAAAAAATAACACTACATAAATCTTCGTAATTCAAAAGGAAATAAAAACTTTGTCCGTTGAGATATTAAGATAATTTGAAGTACGTTACCTTGGTAATATCACAGTTTGCATGCCGGCTACACAAATTAACATAACCATGGCACATATCATACTTCCACTAAAGGCAAAATCTCCAGAAGCTTGGTACTAAATAAAATAAAGCAGAATAACATTACACCGCAAAAACATTTACGCCATTTGGGAACTGTGGTGGCTCGTTGGCAAAGTACAACATGTAGTAATTCGGATGGGACCAAAAAAAACCAAGTCGTTGGAATTCGATGGAAGAGTAGATTGTAGCGCGGCTGTCCAGGCTAAATTTCCCCCATAGCACACTGTATGACGCATGCCCGTCTTCATTATCCCGATCGGAGTAGAACAGCAGGGTGTTAAAACCCTTTTCATTTAATTTCATTTGCGCCTGTTCACCACCACTTACTTAATTTAGAACCTGACGCGATTCGACAGACGGGGCCTGTTCGTAAGAAACTTTCCATGTATGCGTGCATTATCAAACGCGTTTGTGTCCATTTCTAGTTGCTACAGAATAGAGATTTAGCGCCTTTAAGAGATAACCAACAGATCATAAAATGACTTGAATTGGTGTAGTTCCCTCCCCTTAACTGCTAAAGGTATTCACAACCACATCTCGAAGATGATTTTTGTGAACTAAAATTTATACTGTGTCTTTCCGAGTTGTCGATCCTTATTGACGAATTCATTTGGATCCAGCCTTTTGTCCATAGATTTTTGTCTTCCCTAATGTAATTTGCCATGGATAGAAAAGTTAACGCTGTGAGCTGCAAATGCCCAAGGGTTTAATACGTCGCGGCGTGGTATTTATAGGTAGTCCATCCTTTAACCACATTAGTGAATAAGTAATCGAGATATCTTCTCTAGTTCTATAAGCCGTGCATCCACGCAATATATACATTCAAACTTGGCTGATGGAATTAGTGTCAAGATTGAAATACTTAGTTTATTGCTTGTAACTTTTTAAACGTGTAATATTATGATACCAAATTCACAAGTTAAAAAGATATAATACATAATGTTTACTTTTATTGCACACTGGAGCCTGAAATCAAAAGTGAAATATCGCAACGTCATTAAAATCGGCAATGCACCTTTAATTTAGCCTATTGTTTTAAATTATGGTGAGACGTATATCCCGTGTCTAACCGATTTCGACGTGATTCCTCTAACAATATTGTGGAATTGGAAAAGGGGGAGAAGGGAGTGTGGGAATCGATCAAATAAAAGATGGGATGCCAGGCAATGAAACATACTCCCACAGCAGGTATGTTATTCGGCCAGTCAAAAAGGGTTGTCGCATTTTTTTTTTCTTTTGTCTGTAATGAAACATTTACAATACATTAAAATCTGATTCAGAGTAACAACTCACTGATTAATTATCAAAAAATCAGTAGATTTTGTTTGGCTTCTAGTTCTGTCCCATGATAATGTTTCTTATACAAAGCATTTAATATCATGGATTTAGCTGTTCAAGTTATCAAAAATCATTGAATATCAATGTATTTGCTTGTCTCAAAACCTTGAACTCTGTGTATAACCGAATGACAACTTTGGCTTGTAGAGCATACACAAGATTTTTCGTAGTAATCGAGGGCCATAATTCGCCAGTAATTATCGTAAATCCTTGAAAAGCATTAGAAGTCTTCGTCTCTTGACCTTAAACATGGTGTATAAATGTAAAATCAGTCGAACCTTGACCTGTAGAGCATCCACAGGTAATCAAGGGTCATAGCTCTGGCAGTAATTATCGGAACTCGTTGAAAATGAATAGGCTTCTTCGTGTACCAATTTAAAGCCAATCGGATATTAACTTTAGCCTCTAGGGCTACTTGTGGACGCTGGACCACCGGACGGACGGGAGGCTACGACAATATACGACCACATTTCAATGTGGGCGTATAAAAGTCTAAATATGGCGTCAGACCATTCACGTTCTCTCCTTCCAGTAATTCTACCTCCATTACTGGGTTCATTAACTATTCCTATATGAATCCCTTAAGACATATAAAGAAATTTTAAATATATTCCACCTACCCTTTGCTCCTTCAAAGGCGTCTTAAATCTCAACGTAACAAAATTAACATGGTTGGATTTCTCTTGTTCGACATATCTAGCCGTTATAGCCTGGGCCAGATATTTATTAACACGATTGGTCGGCAATGGAAACTGAGAATGCCTGAAACATTAAAACAAGACAGAGAATTTGCTTTATTACAAATGACGTATAAATTACCAATTCCGAAACTGATTTTGGATAGCATTTATTGACTGCTATAACTCTTTTTCGCAATATTCATCGTCCAATAATCAGAACGAAGTGAGCAGTGGGAGATTATTCGTTGACTCTCTGAGCATAAATCGACTATCTATGTAAAGCACAACCACTATACCAGCTAAGTAAAATACAACTAATTATAGCTATGTAAAATAAAATAACCCTTAAATATGTAAAATATAAACACTGCTAGCTATGTAAAATGCAACAGCTAGCTATGTAAAAATATATGACAACTGTATATAGGCAAAGTAAATTACAACAACGACTGTAAAATACATCAAACGCTAGTAATGTAAGATCCAACATCTGTAAATCTCTCCAAATAACGAAAATCGGTATTAGGTGTTCTAGATGGTGTAAGTATAATGTATCCGGTGCACTACTACTAAATATCCCATCATAGATTTCAACTACTGTAGTTAATGCGTGAAAAAAAACCTCTCCAGTATTATTAATGAAGACAAATTTGTGATGACAAGTAAACAATGCATATTTCTGATTTATCACCCAATAATACATTCTACAGTAAATATCGCTTGTGTGATATATTTCATAATCCTTAGGAGATATCGCTTTACATTAATTTGATTGGTCAGTTGAAAAGGAACTACTTTTTTATTTTCAAAGAACAGTTCATTTCTTATTAAAAGTTACTTTATTAAAAATGAACTATTGTTATTCAATTGACCTTGATGGAAACACTAGGTCGATATAAAGGACTTTGCAATGATTGAATTGCAGTTAAAAATGATCCATCACTATGCCGTAATGTTCAGTAAAAGTGAAATCTACAGCAAAGAATTATATTTATCTATTTGTGCATGTAAGAAGGGATTGGATAAATAAAATCTCCTACTCGTCTTTTTTTATATCAAAAAATATCAACACTCGTTGGTAAAGTAAAAAAAAAACTCGGCAGAGCCTCGTTTCTTATTACTTTATCAACTTGTGTTGATATTTTTTGATATCGAAAAAGACTGGTAGGAGATTTTCTATATATGTGTAAAATCTAGGATTAACTCGCATATAGGGTTCGGCCGCAATCTTAACGCCATAGTTCATACGATGTAGTTAATTCCATTCTCGCCCCTAGTGAACTTTCTGAAATGCAGTCTTTTTCATCATCAGTCAAATAAAAATCTCTGTGCATTTAGTCTAAGTAAATATACAAAATAAAAGCCGTTGTCTCATACTAGATTACCATAAATCATACATGAGTCGTGTATCAATATACATCACTGAACAATTCGTAATTTGGTCGATTATTGATTTTTGTGACTTGATAAATTACGTCTCTGTTTGTTAATTCTGTGCAGTAGACATTTATTATAGAAAATTATAACTTGGGAATAGCATTCAAATAAAACTCAACTATGTAATTACGATATACCAAATCAAATAAATGACACAACACAGCAAAAAATATAAATTACAAAAAAACGAAAATTGCTTTTCAAATACAAATGAATTCTATATAATGGAGTGATGTTGTTTGCAATACTCGTTAATGTTATAATATAGTGTTTCATTATTAAATAAACTTTGACATTCCTGTTGGTAGAAAAGAAATGAAATGGAGTTTAACGTGCTACTGTTCTGCTCGGTAAAAAGAGTACAGGCGGTTAGGGTATTATTAGGGTATTATGCTGTTGACTGGAATATACTATTCTTGGTATCGACGTGGGCTAGTCAAACGTACGCTGCGATAATCAAATCTCATACTTGTACACATTGGCGTACACATAAAATACAACTTGGAATTCGAGGTCGAGTAGGCCCTACGCGGCAATATCGCCTTTAGGTCAAAATTCCAGCCCCTTACAATGTACGTTACCATCGTTAACAAGAGTAACCAAACATCAGGCGCGGATCAGGGCTCAATTTAGGGAGTCCGGCACCCGAAATAGTCGGAAATGGATGTACAGTGTTGCATTATTCCGTTGTGGTCCTTTCGCACCTTTAGCGCTGGCGAATTGTCACTACAACACTTCAATACTGTGATCTGAAATTTCTGAACACCCATCCCCCCCCCCCCACTTCCCGCCCCCATCCTCGGCACCCTCTGCTGAAAATCCTGGATCTGCCCCTGTACATTAGTCTCAGAATGTTTTAAACCTTCGGGATCACGGAGACAGGTATTCATCATGCAGTTAACTATAATATTTTTGCCTGCACAGCGTCGTTTCTGCTTACTCTACGACCGGCTCTTATTTCGAATTCTAACTGGCAAGGGTTCTTTTACGTGCACGACGTGTACGCGGGACCTTGGTGTTTCGTCCCATCCGAAGCGCTGGTTAGTAAACAGTACTCTGAGCTATAGTGGCTCCATTCTCATGAAATATTTCAATTGGATATTGTATTTTTAGTGTGTTGTGTCTAAATTATTTGTCTATTATAAAAATTTGCTTAACAGTAACAACAGTTATCAAATTTTTCCGGCGTGGTTCCCCCTTGTCAGTGATGCAGGACGGAGGGCCTGACAAGGACAGCTGTCTAGTCATTCGGATGAGACGAAAAACCGAGGTCTCGTGTACACATTGGCGTGCACGTAAAAGATCCCTTGACAGTTGGAATTCGATATAAGAGTAGGCCGTAGTGCCGCTGTCCGGGCAAAATTACCCTCATAGCACACTGTATGGCGTATGCCCGTCTTCATTAGCCTAGTTCGGAGCAAAACAGTAGGACGTTAAACCCCATTTCATTTCATTTCATTTCATTTCAGTTATCAAATGGCTATCACATATAAAAACAATCAATATATGGTCAATTTCCCAACAGACATCACGTAGACGAGGAATTTATCAGTTATTAGAAAGACTGAGATAGCCGAATTGGTGTAAACCGTGTTACTATATTAATAATAACCAAAGCATAGACATTTGATAATAAAACATCCAAGAAAATATGGGAATTGATCTAACTTTACCTTTCTTTAAATGGCTTTCTAAGTTTATCAGTTACCGACGCAAGTCGACTCTGCAATAAATAAATAAATAATTAATTAGAGGAAATTAAAGATAATTTTTGTTTTTAAATAACGACAAAAAGTAAACGTTGATGAGACGATAAATTCTGAAATGGAATAATTAATTAGATAAAGATTAAAGAAAGACAACAAAAATGAAGATCTTCTTTAAGATAAAGACATATTCATTGTACATTAATACAGGGGGTTAAGATAAATCTCTTTATTTTATTATAGAAATATATAGAAAGCATAGACCTTAAGGTCTTGTCAACAAAATACTTCAGTCATTTGAGATACGGTTACCTGTACAATGCGACTTAGGAGAATTTTGCCCGGATAGCGATCGTTTTAAACTGTTAATGGATAATATTGGTGCCAGCCATTATTACATATTTGATAGAACTGGTTAATCACATTCCAAATAAAATCTAACACAGAGATCTTGCTACGATAAATGCATAACGAAGATTTGAAGAAACGGAAGTGACGCAGCAAAAAATGGAAAACAGATACACGGTCGAACTTCAGCTCACTGATAATTCCGTTGGAGACAAAAAATTGTTATAAGAGACTGTGAGGGGATATCTGACAATTCAAAAAAATAATTGAATGTCACTATATCAAAAAAAAGCGAGAAAAATAGAAAGACCCGTAAATTCCTTCGTTTTTATTCATTCTACACTTCTGTACGGACATGGTAATGCACGTTTGTTTTTTGTTTTTTGTAGTTTTTTTTTTAAAGAACACGGGAGAGTTTTTCAACGGTTCAATACAATGACAATGTAATTAATGATTCGACATTACGCTCCCGTATCAATGCTGATCAATTTGTCCAGTCTCGTGCATCGTTCGGATAAAGTTGAAGATCGGAGCTGAGGTTTCCAAGTCTGTCATATATGGAATCGCGAGTTCATTCAGATACCTAGCTTAACCCTGTCTACGAAACAAAACGCCCAAAGCAATAGTTTCGTTCTTTGCATAAGAATCATGTTTGTGAGCATAATTACGGGCTATTGTACAACCTCTAATGGCTAAACATACATTATGCAAGAGCTAAATCTGTCTATTGCAGGTCTTTCTTTAGGCCTGAAATGTTATCTAAATTATTAATTAGACATTAATTAACCTATCCAGACCATAATCAACTCTAGATGGCATGGCTAGCCTGCGATCTGTAGTGGATTATGAGCCGATTTACTGCATAACTTTCCTTCACGATTTAACGACTTTAGTAATGATGAACGAGGCTGGGCAGAAATTTCATTCGCTTAGTTCTGGGTTCATAGTGGATCAATTTGAATGAAATTTTCAGCAAATTGCCTTTACGTTATGTAGTTTTTAGCTATTATAATGAGAACTGCCAACTCGTTATCGAATCTCCCATAATGTATCTTTAACTCATACTTCTATTAAATCTATAAACATCACTCCAACTTGCACAGTTAAAAGTTTGGGAACTGTATAGATCATTTCGATCCAATAGACAGAAATTGCGAATTAAATCTCGAAATGGCATCAAATGCGGTTTAACGGTATATTTTTCTACATAAAGACAGATTAAGTGTCGAGGGAAAGTATCAAGTCATGCAACATACCAGTGAACATGGTCCCGGTGTCGCGGTTTCATTCGCTATTCGGTTTTGCTCGAGACCTTGCGCGTCAGTCACCCATCGATTTGATTTCATAAAGGACATATTTCATAACAGCTAAAATTGATTGAATATGTCGCATATCACATTTTCATGATATTTATGAAAACTTAGACAGTTTTTCAACAACACAACTGTTTATTATCAGTATAAATTGTTGATTTGGTAGATTTTTTATTTATTTATTCAATAATTGGTCTTTTTTGCTTTGCTCTGTTGGGTACTGAAATGTATAGTATACATTCCGACTGTCTAGCTTGACAAAAAATGTCAAGGTCAATGTCGCTTTTGTGCAATTAAAAGAAAATGAGGTACAGAGCCTAACAGAGCCAAACCGGATATCGCGTCAAACGACAACAGTGCATACATGTAGACATCTGTTATCGACGTAGGAACCGTACCCAGAAGATGATAACTAATCAGAAACATCATTTTACCATAATAAGTGTAGCAATAGTTTATTGGTGGATACTGCTCGCCACCACTACTTCGGGAATATGCGTAACTACAGAAATGACCTTTATTCTAAACAGATAATGAAAGACGTATTGTGTTGACCAGACGTTAAACATTCATTTCCTTTACTTTATTTTCCTCCCATTTCATTAAGAGATACAGACAAAATGGCTGTTATGAAAATACTGGTGTCAAATGTTCTTTTCACTGACAGAACAAGAAGGCCAACATGACCTACGGCTACAAGAAAATGGAAATCTTTAAAAAAAAAAAAAAGCATCTCTAGGGTGTAATTCTATAAGGAAAAAATTACACTTACAAATTTAGATGGTTGTTTTTCTTCTTGTGACGGTGTTAAGACATTAGAGAAAGGGATTTCAGCATTAAATTTGACAGCTTGCATCAACCGCATCACGCAATTCGAAACATTTCTAAAGGACAGTTTCTTTGGTCTCAGTCCTGCCCAGTCTCTGTATAGTAGTGAACTGTGCTGCAATTAAAAACAACAATTCTCAATTGATCAACTGAATCGAAAACAGAATAATTGAAAATAAAACTAAGAAGGAGGGGGGGGGGCTTTTTATTTGGATCAAATCACAGCTCAAAGTAGAATTTGGTTTCGTGTTCTGTTTCGATCATCGATTCAATTTTTATTCTAGCTAAACCCGTTTGATTACTAATTATAGGTTCGTTATTTGTTTACTTATTGTACACGAGGAGCAGTCCATTTGCTGCCTATAACGTTTTTTAGGACTTCGAATTCTGTCTTATGGTTTGGATTGTTCGTACTTGGTTTTATTTTATTATAGCAGTGGGGATTTTTTTAGATTTCAAACTACTACACTGGATCTGGGAGTATAAACGATCCATTTATGTTCTCCGGGTAGATGACCGTTATCAGTTCCATATGAAAGTTTGAAAGTAGGGGCAATTTTATACAATACCGTGGAATTAGAATACTACCGGGAATCTCGACTGTGTGGCGTATAACAGTGATACAACATTTCTGTTGAACATCGCATGCAAGCCGTCTAACCAGTGTAGCTTTCAGTCTGCTATTAACATGGCTGAACTTCGAGAACTTGACGTAGTAATAGATGTATGTTATTTGATAATAATAATTAGTATGCTAATTCTTTTACGATATACACGCTGGATCTCAATTAAACCTAAATATATTACCCTATATTTAAAGAGGTTGTGTTAATTGGTGGATAGAAGTACTAACCCTTCGAGGATGTTTAGCTTTAATAAAGAAGGTTTCAATGGTGTGCTGTTTTAAGAAAGCATTTCTATCACCGCCATTTCCAGGCTCTACTTCATATTCACCATGTAAATGATCCAATGTAGATTGCGTGATGTGCACCATGCTGAATAAACACATACAGTTATATTCTATAATAATATACATTATGTGGGAAAAAAATAAAAGACAGACAAAAACATAAATATTCATGTTATATTATAAAGTATTGTCGTTGTATTGCGACATTTTCAATATTGCCCTCTGTCCTTTAAGGTTATGAGAAAGAAGCAATGGAATCATCCTCATATATTTTAATTTTAATTGTATGTTAGAGGGCACCATAGGTCCGTCGTAAGTAAAGTTCCTGAACGATTGACATCCTATACCCATTTTTACACCAACGTGCTGATATGCGAGGGTAATTGTAGATGAGTCAGCCTGTGTAAATTTTTTATAAAATGGCAACACATGACATATCAATGCATCCCTGTCTGGCGCGAGGGATGACGAAATGTGGGGTCTTGGGCCAAACTGGGTTATCAAAGAATATCAAATATATCTGTTTCCGTGTTATTTTCAATGCATTTAACTTCTCAGCGTATCGTACAATGGAAAGGGGTTTATAGAGTTGGTTAACCTGGACATGCAAGGCGCGAATTTTTGAGGATCTGACCTTTCAAAAATCAAACTAATGAGCGCATTAGAAGGGTATCAGAAAAGCTGACTTCATCACCCAACCCACCCCCTGGCTCAACATCATGTAACGGACGCAGTTCATAAAGATCTAACTAATCACATACCCAGGTAAGCCTCCAGCCTCCATCTGGTTAGCTAGAGTGACGTCATGACTCCACACGTCATATTGCCATCTTTTAAGACCAAGAACGCCACACAATACTGCGCCGGTATGGAGTCCAACTCTCATATTTAATCGAACGTCAGTAGATTCGCAGACGGAACTGAAATTATAGAAATAATCAATAATATAAATATAACAAGATACAAAGGAAAGTAATCACACTTTACCCTTTTGAAAACACCATTTATATTTAAAGGAGGGCGTTCGCATAAAATTGTTTCCGTATTTCATTATGACTTTATATTATTAAAGATATATTGCCGGGCAATACAAAAGACATTCATGGCAGCATTGTGATTTAGGGGAGTCTTCGTGAGCGGCAGCCATCCTCGGGACAAATCATAAAATAACTTTTAGAATCGATTTGTAATTTCAGACATCGAATTTCTATCCATCACAAAACGAAAAACGAGACATTCTATTTATCAGATTAATAGAGCATTTATAAGTAACTAAAACGGATCAAGGGCGACAACCCATTAAGTCAAACTAGCACAAGTATAACCCATCACAAATTGTCACATATAAGTCTAACTCTAACTCACCCAAAGACATGCAGTAATTTATAACACTACTTAGGTTAAGTCACCCCAAGCCCCGTCTTCATTAGCCCTGTGGGATCAGAACATGCCATTACATCGCCCCAAGCAACTCATTATTTATTGGGATTCGTGCACCATCCGACATTTACCCAATATGGTGGTGTTGGGCTGGAGTTTAATACAACATGATAAATACTTTATTTAGCCTTCAGGAAAATAAAACATTACGTAACAACAAAAGAAAACAATAACATGTGTTGTTAGACCTTGTTAACGTAATTACAAGAAAAAATGTTTTTCAACATGCAGTTTCAAAACAATTTCCCCCAAAAACAATTTCCTGTATAGAAATTCCAATATGGACATAACAGCATATAGGAATGTTTAAGTTTTTGAAATTACAGAACATTGCTCTTAGAGGCTGTAAAAGATTTCCGGTGTAGATCTGTCAGGTTGGTGATCAGACGCCCACAATACCCAGAGGTAGCCAGTGGATTTTAACGATTATCTGTAAAGCTCTGACAACTACAGTAATTTACTTTTGTTTTATAACAAAGGTCGTGTACAAATTGTATTAAATATTTTAGACATTTTGATGTAAGAGAAAAGAAGTTCGATTGGCATCCAATGTATAAACACATTTGGTTAAATTTAATATTATTAACGAATACATTGCACCATAAATCTCTTTGATAAAGGTCAAAATAGAATTGTGCTGATAGGATGTGCTATTTCGATTAGTAACGGGAAATGGTTGAAGGGGTGAGGGGTCATTTGTATATCTCATCCCTGACGCACAATTTGCAATGACAATAGGCTGTCATCACGCAAGACATAGTAGTACATGAAATCAAGTAAAATCGACATCCTACGCTCAACCTTAATATGAATCAGTCTCCTTTTTTTTTAGATTGGAGCTCAGGTAACAACATGGTTCAGCCTGCATGCCATCACTACAGCGGTCCTGTTAGGCTATCGATTACTAATTGCACCCAGAAGCCTTATAGCCACTTATTGTTTGAAAATACAAGTTCTGAAAGCAGTTGTTTAAAATATGTGAAATTATTTAGATATAAAGAAAAGGGTAATATTTAAGAAGTTAACATTTACCTGAGATTAAAATGTTAGATTTTCAAATTAATGAGTTAACAATTAGAATGATTATAATATAGGCTAATTAATGGTGACAAGCTGTTCCAACTTGCTACTTTAAATTTAAAAATTTCAAATTAATAAGTTAACAATATGATTATAATATATGACGTAGGTTAATTAATGGCGACAAGCAATTCCAACTTGCTATTTTAAATTTTAAAATTTCAAATTAATAAGTTAACAATATGATTATAGGCTGATTGATGACGACAAGGTGTTCCCATTTCCTACTTTTAATAGCTATACAAAGTGCCAAACCAATCAAATAAGTATATACTGTATCGTGTGCGATATCCATCACTACTTATATTTTATCGGATAACCTTTTCGTATTGAACATTTTTTAGGGCTTTATAATAATATTGAGTTGTATTGCATGTCTGATTTGCGCTCTGTGAGAACGATCAATTTGGAGGCGGTGTTGGTTAGTCCATACAAAAACGAGTAAACAGCAATTATGAATATTTTATTGATATTAATGTTACGGTCCAGTCCCTTTGATCAAATACATATTTCATTTATATCAAATGATAGAGGGGTTTGAGTTAACTTTGGGTCATGCTATCTCTTCTCTTATCAATAGTAATTAATCCAAATATCTGAGTTCACTTGAATATTGACAAAACGCGTTCGGCATTATCTGGTTTTAAATGGTTCCGATGTACAAATCAATACGCTGCTAAAAATAAAATCTTTCAATGGCCTTCGCGTCGTTTGAGTTACTGATAAGAGGGGGAACAAACGTGAAAAATATAATCCATCTTTTGTAGATTATGCCATTAAAATTTCGTGTGAATCTTCATGCACTTTGTTCTCGTAGCTACAAGGTTGTCGTGCACGAGATGTATGATTCAGCTTTTAGGAACACGGTTACCACTTTCCACTGGGTCCAATTGAGTGGGTCCCAGATGTCTTATAATTCAATGCATAAACTTGTAAATTAGCTAGGCCAACTTCCCACTTATAAATGAAAAGTGACACCGGGAGTTCTGAAACGAATAACTTTTATAGTTCGTGCACGAATATATACGCTACACTGTCGAAATATCTTCTAGAAGGTAACTTTCAATGGCTACCAGAAGACGTTTAGAATTACACTTTAGGCAGTACTACATATATAAAACAGTAAACGATGGAAAAAATGTTCCAAGTTGTGTTTGCTAAATCATTGATAGAATAGTAGGTAGGCAAACGGTGGCTCAGTGAGTAAGGTACTGGCTTACTATCCAGGGGATCCGGGTTCAAGGAACAGTGTCTAAGGACAAGGAACAGTGTCTAAAGCAAGGCTGACACTTGCAAACTAGTCGTAAACTGGCGTGAAGTGTGCGTAAACCCGTCGTGACTGCGTGCCATGTCGGGACGAGAATTTTGAAATGTTCAAAATTTTGGTGACGACAAAATTTAGCGACCGGCTCGTGAACTATGCGCAAACTGTTCGTGAACTCGTCGGTACGATGCGCGGGAGGATGCGTGACAGTGCGCGCCATGCTACAACTGTCACGAACTGCCACGAATAGTTCACGACTAGTTCACGAACAGTTCACGACTACTGCAGCACGACACCGTCCGAATTGCGCAAACTCGTCGTGCCAATGCGGGAAGTGCGTAAACAATGCGCAAACTATGCGTGAACTCGTCGTGTCAACATGAACACTGATGGGCACGCATTCGTGAACTTGTCGTGAACCATGCGTGAACTAGTCGTGAACAGTGCGGGAGCCTCCCAGTTCGTGTCCCAAAATGGCACGACTTGCCACGACAAAATCGTGGCCAAAAGTCGTGCAAGTGTCAGCCTGGCTTAAGTCTTTCGGATGTGACGAAAACCCGAGATCCCATGTACACGATGGCATGCCCGTAATACAACCCTTGACAGTTGTAATTAGAACTGTCCAGCCAATTCTCCCCGCAGTGCAGACTGTACTCTGCATGGCGTATGCCTGTACTCATTATCCCGGCTGGTGCAGAAACGTATGACGTTAAACCCCATTTCATTTTAGTAAGCAAAAGAGATACCTTAGGGTAAACTATTTATAGTACATATTCGATATAGTCAGTTAACTCTATTTTTATTCCATAGGTTTAAAACACCAGACACTGTTAGCCTTTCCGCTATCAAATCAGTACGTCACTTCTGCATGTTCGACCGATTTTAAATAAAAAAGACAAAGGTGACGTTGACTAATATCTTAGCACATTATCGTCTGCTCCAACCAGTAACCCGAAGCAGTTCCTGATGTATTAGACAGTCGAGTGGCGAGTATCACGTGAACTAATCAATTGCCCTCCAAAATAAATCGTTACTTTTAGCTAACTAAAACCATTGATTGTTTGATTAATATGAACACACGTCATTTTGCCTTCCCGGTTCCCGCTCACCTAAATAGTCGTCTGCTTATCTTATCATATTTACAATCACGGTGAAAAATAACATACGAGGCGCCAAGAAATTGCTTCATGGTTGATAAGTGATAATAATCAATAGGCTGGATTGGTTTTTGTGGAGAAGATGTGATCATTTAAACAAATGTATACCATTAATCCAGTAATGGTGTCTCAAACAAGGTTCAAATTTGATTACTAGCAATATATTAGAATACAATTAAAATAAATCAAATTATCCATAAGACAATGTCCGCGTTTCTTATAATAGGATATTCTCCTACTAGTTTATATAATAAGGGATGATGCAAACAACCAGCACCTAGAAATCTATTGGGGAATGGCTACATACACAATCCATAAATTTAACACTACATTTTATAACGATGAATTTCACTAACGACTAACCATCTTTTTGGGGAAACATGATTCAAATTAGAAAGTAACATTCAGTTGCATATTTACATCCCATAAATTGGTTATATGTATACTGTATCTGTTTATATGGTCTATATTGTATTCGTGTATGTTGATGTTATATTTACAATTATCCTACAATATTTATTATCAATATTAAAGGCTCAATACCGCTCTTGTTGTAACTGAATAATATGTCCCAATCTTTATTCTGGTCAACAAATTGTACTATTTTACAATATTCCAATTAATTGATGATACAAATTTCATCTTAACACACCTAATTTAAAAAAATGGAAAAATTCAACTAAATGATTTGAAAAGCCTGACGTAAAGCTTTTCAAATGTGACTTGGATTTAAAAATATTTTTGAACCCTTTGGACAAGTAAAATAGGATTTAATGGATAATTTACACAACAGGTAGAACACCAACACATCTAGTACTTAGAATAAGCCTATTTTTTATTTTCTGGAGCTGTCAAGCCAACAAGCGTGTTATTGTCCCTTTAATTGCCTATATAACTGAGAAGTGGTATCAAGTGTTGTAGATACAGTAAACAAATCCAATCTCATGTAAAACATTCATCTAGATTTAAACGACACACATTAAAAACAACGCTACCCCATGCTGATCACGGTAATCATACGCACGTCATTGTAATAATAATAAAAATAGTTTATTCACAACTACATGTACAGGCATGGGTATGGAAGTTAGAACAAACATTTCACATTATGATGCATTACAGTATCTGATTAGATATCTTACAAAATAGCATTAATTTTCAAGACATGTAGGGTACATATAATGTTGATGTAATCTTCAATTGTATGTTACCAGCATCACATAATCTTTCAAAATGACGATTCCCTCATTGCGCGATATTGTAGTATAATGGACTAATGTGATTGAAGTGACGTTTTTTTACTGATCGGAAGTCGTACACCGTGAACAACCTGAATCCGCTTCACAATTTTATTATTGAACAATATAGCTTCGTCTACACTAGGCTTGAAAAAGCCGGCTTTTTAAAAACCCGGTTTTTTCAAAACCCGGCTTTTTCAAGTGTAGCGTCTACACTGACTGAACGGAAAAAGACGATGAACACCGACCTTCGTTATTTGTGGAACTTCCGGTTTATTTATTACGCCATCGGCTTCAGTCAATTTTGCAGAGATAATAATATAATAATAATGATTACTAGAGAAGCCAGCTTCGGATAATTCAGCGCATATAACCCTGTAAATTTTATTGTCTTTGACAGTTCCATCAAACAAAGCTTGAATGTTCCCCCGCCCCCAAATCTCAATTAGCAATAAGCACTCCTCGTTAACCCATTTTAGGTTAGGCATGTTGAAATTAAATAGGCTAGGCTATAGATGGATTTGAGATTTACCGCAATTTCTTAGAACCGGAAGCAATGCCAATGTTATGAATGTACGGAAGCTCGGGACGAATGACATCCGGGTACTTGATAAATCCCGGATTTACCGTCTACACACATAAAATTGCCGGTTTTTTGAAAAAGCCGGCTTTTTGATTTTGAAAAATCCCTCAATAATTGCCGGATTTTAAAAAGCCGGCTTTTACGATTGAGAAATTGAAAAAGCCGGCTTTTAGGAAAAAACCGGGATTTAAAAGGCTAGTGTAGACGGTGAATGCTGCTAGTGTAGACGTAGCTTATATGCCTTTTATTTTAATAAAGCGTAATGGCCGAGTGTGGCATACAATGAGAGGTGGAGGTTACGGAGAAATACCGAGGAATCCCGAATGGGGTAGATGTTTATACTTTTTGTGCCCTCAGTCGGTACAAAACACATGGCACACGGCTTTGTACGCTAACTTTAGTCTAGGTGCTGTTTTTGGCTTTAACACTTTCCAACTAAGGGCTAAGTCACTAAAACTTAAAACTACAGCTAAAATAATTTATGGAATGTTTCGATAAAGCGCGTCAATTGGTTTGATAAAGATACGTTCTTTCGTAAAGTCGTGTAGTTGGAGATGAACTTGAGCGATCTTTTATCTGGTACGAGAGAATTCTGCGCCAAAAGTTGCCTGTGAAGTCCACAAGTTCACATACAATTTCCTGCTTTGGTACAGTGTGAAACTAACCTAGATGGTTATAAAGTGCTGGCGTGTGTTTCAGATTCCATTACAATGTATTTGAAATACCTCGCGTGTATAAAGTTGGCCTGATGAAGATAAGAATAGTCCATAGCTAATTAATAAATAGAGAAAGACAAAGGTTAACTAGTTAATATGGTCTTTGTTTCAATATAAGATGGAATCGATTAGTGATGTCTAAATCAGTACTATCTAGACATATCGATTTTGAATTTATCTTGTTCTAGTCCTATTGCTTTTCAACGCGTATCGATTTTTAATTTGATTAAATTCGGACTACATACACGATTTTGGAGCTTTCGAGCAGTTTCTATAAATAACCCTAATTAATTGTACTCCCAAGAGAAAATATTATTGATTAAATCTCGGAAGAAGAGCTCTTTTTATTTCATGTTGACTATGTCCGTTGCCAAAAAAATATATTCTAATAAAAGTTCGCGTGTTAAGCCGCACTAGCCATATTTGTCACTCACTCTGACGTCTTCGCCAATTTACATAGTTGTTTCAGACAATAAAAAAAATTCCCACATTCAGCGATCCTCATATTTGTATAGGATTTTGAGCACTGTTCGCCTTATGAAAATAGAATATTTAATAAACTAGGTTTTGTATCTCCCTGCGGACAGAACAACCAGTTAGTTCAATAAATGGACAACGAGCAGATAACCGACTGTTAAGTCTTCTACAGTTTTTAATAGGTTTATAGTACTAGGATTTAAGTTTTTAAAAGTGGAAGAAAGTACATACGTTAGACAACTTGGCCAACTCCAACTCAATGTAAATATTAGTCAATAATTACTGAAATCAACCAATCCTAAGATATGATACAGTAGATTCTAATGATTTCATTTCAAATATGTCCGATTTGTATAAACGCAAACAAGATATTACATAATTTTTACAAGCTTCAAACTTGCCAATTATATTTGTCTTTTGAAAAGAGTGAACACTTGTATCAGACTTTCATCTTGTTGTCTCATTTATTGAAAGAAAATTAATTTCTTCGCCGTCTTGCCAACTATCTGCAGTTGCGAGGTGGTATTCTAAATCGAAACAATGAGCCGTTTTGGGCGATTGTGTTTTTCATTCCACAACTTGGTAAGAGCTTAAACTGTCAAAACATGTGATGTAAGGGGTAAGGATAATACCGCAGACAAATAAAACTTCCACGAGCGGATTCTTTTACACGTATTACTGGTAGAGTGGTTTGCTATTGTGATTAGAGAGTCAACTATTATTAAGAGAAATCGCTCGTCCATATAAATTATACTGGTTTCTTTCTATTGCGAAAAGATTTCCAGCAAACAAAATCTGATTCAAAGGCCGATTAGCAATTTAATTCTATTGCACGATTTGGTAACTGTGCAAAACTACCTCAATTAATCTTCCACTTCCAAAATGCCACATGAAAAGGTTCCATTCGTCTAAGCATAAAACCTACTTACGCTATTGCATCAATCATGTCTAGTCCCATCTCCACACAACATTTAGCATGATCAGAATGGGGTTCTGGTAAACCACTAACACAATAATAACAATCTCCCAAAATCTTTATCCGTAAACAATTATTATTCTGAAATAAATTTATACAAATTAATAAATAAAACATAGTTAAAGAAAGACACCAAAAACTAATTTATGACTCTCACCAACCGGACCAATAAATTGGCTAGCAGGCAAGTGGGCAGAGGGTAGGGCATTTACACCAACATTCAAAAAGACGATTTCATTTATTTATTTAAATATTCTGCACTTTGTTGATCTTTAATTTCCCTTTGGTAAACATTTATTATGAGCATAATTTCTACAAAACGTCGGAAAGCGGGCAATGAGGCAATACTTTTCAAAATCACCTGAATGGGTGGTCCAAAGTACAGAATATGTGGTTTAGCTGTAGCCTGCTTAAGAATGAAAAGGGCGAGGGGGGGGGGGATTTAAAACCAGAGAATTGCTAAATAGCCGAAACAATTTAATTTAGCAATTGGTTTTAAAAAAAATACAATACATAAACATCTGTAAAAAATAGTTTAGAAACTGGCTGTGTATTCGTTGGAATGTTTGTAAATGGCATGTATACCTTTGCTAGGTGATCAAATCTACCGAACAGTTCATTCAGAATTCGTACCAATTCTTGAGCTGTACACTGAGAAGCCAGCACAGTAAAACCAACTATATCAGCAAACAATATCCTGAAAAAATACAAGAATAATTCATATTAACGTGCATTTAAGACGTTCATGTACAATTTGACCCTACGCCAGTTGGACCTATTTGACCCATTGGAACACCTTATACAAAATGTTGGCATCATGAGTGGAAATGCATAACCATGTATTCATGCAAAAAAGATACCCCATCACAATTTGATTGACCAAATTGGTCCCCGGAATTATTAAGGCTGACCCGACTCCGAACAAAATGCACACTTGCTCAAACTACACCTTTATCATTGTCCACTATATTGACCTTTATCGACATAGTCCATTATTTTTATCAGACCTTACAGGGAGTGATGGCAGATGTTCTTTCCAATTAAGACTTTCGACGAATAATCGACGCGCAATGGGACTTTTTCATTAGGTACTGGCCAATATCTGCAATTGTGTTACCTCTGTTAACTTGCCCGGGGTTAGGTTACTCTGTATATTTGATTATTAAAGATACATTATGGAAGATTAGATAAAGAGCTGGCAGCTCTCACTATAATAGTTAAAAACTAGATAATGTAAAGGGATTTTGCTAAAATTTCGGTCAAATTGATCCACTATGAAGCGAGATTTTAGCGATTGTATTTTCGGCCTATCCTCGATCATTATTACTAAAGTCGATACGATAAAAAAAAACATAGTCTCGATTATCCATTTCATGATTAAATCATGAATGAAAATCGGTTCCTAATCCAGTAACAGTAAATCTCGCAAGTTAGCGATGCCATCGAGAGTTGATTATGGTCTGGGTAAGTTAATTAATGTCTATGTAATAATTTAGATAACATTTCAGGCCTAAAGAAAGACCTGAAATAGACAGATTTAGCTCTTGCATAATGTATGTTTAACTGGGATAGCACATATTACAATCTGTGTCGGAATGAATCTCAAGGTCACCCCGAACTAGCAAGTAAAATGGCTAATTATTTTGAGAAACTAGCTGTAAAAAAATTACAATCACATATAACCTTTGCTAGTTTGCTGATATTCTAAAATAGATTTGTATCTGTATAAAATAAACCGAGTCTGAAGAAAGCAAAAGCAACGGAAATTGTTTTAACATCTGGTGAACAAACATTTTTATATAATATAGTCAAACTCTGCCGTAGTAAGTGATATTTTGATATTTAAGACAATTAGACAACGATAATATATGTGTCTACAAACCCAGTAGGAAATAGTGTTGCGCTAACAGGGGTGACAAATAAGGTGACTAATTTGGACCAAAAATTGGACCGCAGCAAGTCTACTACATGTATCCCTATGTATTAAATTTCCATGTTTACTTATTACTATTTTTATCCAATAATCTTAGATTCGTTGCCTTGTGTTAATTAGTGACAAAGGGTAGGGTTTCCTGCCTAACATCGTGGGTTTTCTCCGGGCCAACCGGTAAAGAACCCTAAGCGCAAGCTAATTCAAATAAACAGTCCCGAAATGAGCTACTCTCTCTCCCTCTCTCTGTGTTCATTATGAGTTTTATTACAGAACGGGCTATATCTAATTCCAATCAAATTTCAAACTTAAACAAAAATGAAATGAAATGAAATAGGGTTTAACGTTCTACTGTTCTGCTCCGTCTGGGCTAATTAAGACGGTCCTTTGTTGTCAAAGTTAATAATCATATTATCGAATATTCGTTGCAAGTATTATAATGATGTGCTGCTAATTGGTGATATTAGATTTGTATTTTATAATATTGGGTAGTATTTGGTAGTATTTGATAAGTATTTGGTAGTATTGGGTTATCATTTGCTTGATTTGGGTGATATAGGGAGGCAAATGGAACAGCAGACATCGGTAATCACATTTGAAGTACATTTTCCACGATGTATCTCACTATTTTTGAAAAGAATCAAGTACACCATTATGTTGTAGTAATGTGGTAATATTTAGGTGGTATTGGGTGGTCTTGGGTAGTATTGGGTAGTAGTGGGTAAATCGTCCCACCCCTAATTTATGGTCCGTATAATCTTAAATCTAGTGTTTACGTCACGCTTATGACTGTAAAATTGTTGAAAATCAATAATATTCTTGGTCTCATGAACTTAAACACTGTGAATCGGATTATAAATTTAACCCCTAGAGCGCTCAAAAGATTTTTACAATTGATAAAAGGCGATAACTTCAACAGTAATCGGTAATCATTGTTAATCTAAAAGATAGGTTGCCAGGAAGTCGACAAGGGTTGTCCCATATTATATTCTTTTGTAGGTACTTATGGGAGTATTTACAAGACACTGATATCAATTTCATACAGACCGGAAAATACTTTTCGTCGTTGAAACATGGGTCATAAATCTAGAAGTAATAAACGGAAATTGCCGAATTTCAATAGGCTTCTTTGTTTCATTAATTTAAATGATGCTCATAACTTTCATACAGATCGGATGATAATTTTTGTCGGTAGATCGTTCACGGGGTTTAACAAAGTGAAACGAGGGCCATAACTCTAGAAGTTATTAACGGAAGATGATGAAATTCAATAGGATTCTTCGTTTTACTAATTCAAATAACGCATATAAATTAATACAGATCGGATGATAACTTTTGTCATTAGAGCGCCCGCAAGGTTCTACAAAATGAATCATGGGCCATAATTCTAGAAATAGTTACCAGAAATTGTTGAAATTCAATATTCTTCATTTCACTAATGTACACAACGTGTATAATTTTTTAAAAAGATCTGATGATAAATGTGCAAGATGGGCGCTGGAGCACAGAAGGTCTTACCTTTTTGAGTGCCCCCGCCCTGGCCTTCCACCGTCACCAAAGCCAATAGAAAGGCTACGGAAAGGGTTAGACAGTCAAGTGCTAGAACCACACACAATCAACAAAGCCCAATGATATAGAGATTAATATCTAAATAGACTACTGACATTCACATGTTGATGTGGATGGAAGTCATGTCAATTAAATCTAATATTGGAAATTGGTAATAACATTGTGGATATGAGTCTGTCAACTCACGATCGATTCAGTGCAATCAATTACATGTCAAATAGATAGACACAAACAACGGTTGGTCCGTAAAGTATGTGAAACTTTTTCTCTTTTGTGGGTAATGAAAGCACTAAAAATGATGAAGGACAACAATCTATGATATGGTTATCAGAAATAATCAAAATTCAATAGGCTTTTAGTTCTTCCAACGCTAATAAACAAAACATGTACCGATGATCAGATGACAGATTTAGCTGATCGGAAATGGTTGAAAATCAAATGCATGCAGATAAATACATGCATAATTTCAAATCAATCGTATAAAAACTCTAACCACTAAAGCATCCAACCCAACAAGATTATACAAAGTTATTAAGGGCCATAACCTCGATTGTAATAATGGGAAGTCAATATGCGGTTGAGCATGAACACAGTGTTTAAATTGGAAGTCTATCGGATTGTTGATAACAAACGCCACTGGTCAAATCGTTGAAAATCAGCAGCTTCTTTAACTTCTGAACATAAACACTGTGCATAAACTGCAAGTCAGTCGGACTAGATACGCCGTATTCCCATGGAAATGCAATCCACAGATAGCTTCTATGATTTGTTATAGGAAATTTCGTTTAAGTGCGAAATTGTACATGGACAGCATCTGAAAACGTTATTGCAAATACCAAGTGAAGGTCTGGGATTGAACACTACATGAAAAGATCATAAGCGTTTTATTGTGGGCTATAGGAGAAAGACAGAAAGGTTGGGCGTGTGAGGTTTTTAGTGATTCGTTTCAAATGTTTCTTTTGGATTGAGCCTCTCTCTCACATTGTAAGTTATATTTCTATCGTATTGTAAATTCCGAGATATTTACAAGCTAGCTAACGAAGACTGATACATAAATTATTGGAGCAATGGTATAGTATGATGGACAAGAAGTTCGAAAGGTAAGAAACAACAAACCAGAACCTAATCATTCTGGCTCGTTTATGGCAGCTACAACCATTTCTACAGACAGACGTTATATCTACACGATACTTATCTTAGGAGGCGAATGTCAATAAAGAGTTTCTGTACGGTTCCTCATGCTATTGCTATATAATTAAAGACGGGCAGTCTACGGTATCAATGATCAATTTAATGTCAAATTGAGTAAATTGTGTCATAGATTTGGGTCTTAAGTAAATAATACTCAAGAACGGAATTAATTATTTCCGGGTATTTCCAAATGTGACGTCTCGTTAAGTCAATACTTCAGATGTAATACTTTGGAGGAGCAGGACCTGTTTATGTAGGTTAAAAGTATTGAATTGGGTTAAATTGGCGAAAGACAAATCGATTATATCTCAAGATTGACTCACTCTACATGAGCTTATCGTCATATCTTGACTTTGCGACGTTGTAGGGTTGTGCGGGCAAAAAGCAGGGGACATTTGTCCGGGTCAAGGTGTTTCCGCCCAATCTTCTTGAATTCGTAAAGCCATCGAATATTTTATGTATACAACCAATTTGTACACTAGTCCGTTACCGGTGTAACCCTCTTCTAAAAACAATTCCGAAATTTCTTCTCAGGTCATATCGGGAATCCTGGGCATTCTAGTCCGGGATCTAGACGAATAATGTTTTGTTAAAATATAAAATTATGTAGTGTAAGAAAACAAGGTTGAGAAGAAAATTAAATTTAAATTTTACGCCATTCAGAAAGATGGGTTATCCTGTTAGTGAATGAGGATCGCTGTAATTAAGGGATAACGGTTCCACCGTGCCAGGATTAGCACCCGCGAGAAGGGCAGGGTAGATGTTGCCTGGTCGTTAGAAAGTGACAAAAAACAGGAGTTAACCATTGTACGCATTAGCCTGCACGTGAAAATGGATGCACTTTTTTTCGGGAACATATTCTCTATATAAATAATAACAGTATATTTGTCTCTAAAAACCAGGAGCGTTATGTTGATGAGATATTTTTTCCTGGAGTTAAATTATTCTATGCTATTGGATAATTGGATTTCAAAATCATTTGAATACTACTACCAGCTATATTATACCAAATACTTACGTTACGTTATCATGACGCTGTATGTAAATTTTATGAAATGGGCCTTGGTGTGGTGTCGTCATGTCTCGCTTCATCTCCATAGCAACATGTTGAGGAAGAACACTTAAAAGAAGCTTTTCCTGAAAGAAAAGGAAATAGTTGTGACATATACATCCTTTTTTGTATTAATTAACATCAATCACAAACATTGGAGGTGGAGGTGAAAGAACAGATTTATTTTTCTGTATGGTTTGAAACTGCAGTCAAAGAATGCAATGTTTTCTCAAATTGCTTAACATGTTGGCATGCTAATTGGTCACCTAGAAACGTACATGAGTTCAGCTTATTTTTTTCCGCGATGTGATTAGAAGAAGTTTAGAGAATGGTGTTGAGAATGGTGATCCCCAATCTTTCTTTTATTGATCTTTTTTTTTTCTTTTTTGAAAGATAAATAATAGGAAATCCGCTTTATAGAAAGATCTGCAAAACGGTGCGTCACACTTTAGAGCCATTTTTAGATAAATCGAATCAAAATCCACGGAACCACCAACTTAATGTCGTGTGTGGAGGATAGCATGCGAAGAACTCACAAACATGTGTCACGAGGAGGGTTGCTGGGGGTGGCAACAGGTCATCAAGAAAAAAACTGATTTAGATAGGATTTTTCGAGTGCATAATCAAATTTACTTGTTACCCGATCCCATTCGATGGTTAACTAAGACCCATCAAAGATCTGACTAGTCAGTGGACTATTATCTTGAAACGTGTTTCAAGGTCAATAAAGCGCTTCTTTCCCAGTGCCAGGAGTGAAACTTGTTTCAACACAATTATGTCATATCGACATGGTCTCAGTAGGCTGCGTGACATTAACTCTTTTGCAGGAAATAACATTTAATCACAGAGGACACTAGGGCAGTAAAATACAATAAGAGTAAAAGCCTATCATACTGTGATGTCGCAACATAGCCTTTAGGTGATCTACTTAATTAGTGTTAAAGGGCTACTTTGTCACTTGAAATATTTGATAAATTGTGCTTCAAACCTATAGTTTGCTTTTCGCAAGCCACATTTCGTATAAAAACTGAATGGTAACTTTGTAATTAGAATATATGTAAAACAACGTGATGTGCTGTATCTGTTGAAATCACGTAATAAAGGACTCCATCAAGGACAGACCTACATTCAGATGACTGCATAAAATTAGCTTTAGGGCGTTTGAAAGGCAGACAATCAGAAATACTACTAAGATATCTACTTCATCTGTACATACCATCGACATTTCTTTTTCAAATCTAGTTATTTTTTATTGTAATGCGTAATCTGTTACTTTCAAACATATTTTTAAATTTGTAATACATTGTCACCATTTGAAAGCATTTTGTGGCACATCATTGTCATTTTAAACATTTCAATTTTAGAAAATATTGTCACGATCAGGCATGAATGTAATTCGCAGTACATCTTTTGAATTTGTACATTGCCGCTAGGGTTGCAAAGGGTGGGAAACTTTCCGGGAATTTTGGAAAGTTTCCAAGGAAATTTTCCGGGAATTTTCGGTGTTGGGAATTTTCGGGAATTTTCAAATCTATTTTTTAGAACTGAAAAATACTAACATTATAATTATTTACTGGAATTTCCCTTTTCTCTTTTACTTTCATCTATATAAACTATTAAAATTTATTTAACCATGCTAGTTGTGTTCCAAATGGTAAAACTAAAGAGATAAATTTATGTAAATTCTGCTCTAAAAGGTATACAAAAAAATGCCAGTGTTGGGAATTTTCAAATCACATTTTTTAGAACTGGAAAGTACTAAAATTATAATTAATTACTGGAATTTCATATTTTCTCTTTGATTTAGAGAAGTCCGTACTTGGATTTTTACAAAAAAGAAACCAATTTTGCCGCTGCCTATATGCTAGATCCCAACTGTTACCGAAATGCTTTACCTCTTGGTGATATGGAAATTGATGAAGCATATGGATTCATTAGTTCCCTTGCATCACACTACAAACTTAATGAAGGCAAAGTAATGGCTAGTTTGGCTAAATATCAGTCAAAAGATAGATTGTGGAAAGGAGAAAGTATTTGGGCATCATCAAAATATATTTCTGCATCAGCTTGGTGGATGGGACTGTGTGCATCAGAAGCTGTTTCGAATATAGCTTCATTAATTCTTGCAATACCACCTTCATCAGCAGCATCAGAACGCATTTGGTCTCTGTTTGGTACAACTCATACAAAAGTTAGAAACAGATTAACAAATGAACGTGTTGAAAAGTTGGTCTGTATAAGAACTAATTTGAAACTCTTTTTCCAGCACAGAAATCTCAGATATTCTTGAGGATTCATCTGAACCTGAAATCTCCCTTTTATCCACCGATGATGATGTAGATAATGATTTTGAAGATAATGATGAAATGGCAGAGTTACCTATATATAAACAATTTAAAAGAACTATCTCATTATTAGTTATTAGATTTTAGTATAAATGACATATCAGATAATATGTTTTGTATCTTTTAGTTATTAAAATATTACTGTCACTTGCAATTCATTAATAGTGACACAGGTTTCAATTTATGACACCAAATTGAAAATTCCCAAAATTCCCCAAAAATTCCCGGAAAATTCCCGGGAAATTTACCCTGTTTGAAAATTCCAGGGAATTTTGCAACCCTAATTGCCGCTGCTGTAAAAATCTATGGTCACTTTCAGATGCATACTTTACTTAAAGTAAATCTGTTGATTTTGTAGGCATTGTCTTCACTCTGCAGCATCTAGACATTTTCAAGTACACGTTATCAATTCTTTAAAATTGAACATATTTCATTTCCTGTTGTCACTTTAAGATGTCAATTTAACTTGATTTACAACTTCGATACATACAAAAAGCTATTTAAATTGCCGTACACTGCTATTAGATTACAACATATTATGTAATTTTATTAATGTCACTTTAAGACTTCTATTTAATTTGAAATACGTTCTCGGTACTTGAAAAACGTCTAGTTAAATGACAGTACCTTGTAGCCACCTTAAAACGTCTACTCAATTTGTAGTACTTTACCGTCAGTATCCCCTCAATCACTTTTATTTAATTAATGGAAGACGAAACAAACACGCCGACACCTAATCTAACGATATTTAACGAATTTCGGTAAAAGCTTGTCTGAACCAAATTTAGAAGTTATAAACGCGGATTTGACATGATCCTAAACACTAGCCACGATGGTGGCACGAAAAATCAATGGCGTTCATCTTAACTGTAGTGGAATTCAAAATGATCGATATGCGTTTTTTGGCTCTGAAATGTTCCTGTGTTTAATGAAATGTATTTTTAAAAATTGTAAAAGTGGTGTTTTAATAACCCGTAGAGAATATTATCGGTCTAAAAAAATCTAAGAAACAGTTTCTGTAAGCTGATTATCTTATAGGAATGGAGTCACGCTATAGAATTATTTTGGTATTACAAGACAATTTCTGTAAAATTCCCTGTCTTTAAAAATCTCAGAGTTAAGCTGATAATATAGATCGTGTAATTTTTTTTCTCTTTCTCTCTAAGATTTTTTTTTGGATTAAATTCAAACGTTCGATATAATCTTTTGACAACTTTGTTCAAACATGGAAGGCGGTTTCTTAGGTCCCATAATACGTCCCGGTCATTCTAGCTCAAATATCAATGTCAACAAAAACTGTCCCTTTTCCCCGCCCCCCGTTATCATCCGTATCCCGCTTTCCCTCGAGTTATTTGAAAAGGAGCGGATTTAATGGCTAGAAAAATAGTTTTTGCCCACTTGTGATTATTGTATTACGTTCATGGACCTAATGTTGCCCATATAAGGCTGTTTCAGATAAGTGTACGTGATCTTATGTTGAATACAGATTTCCTTAAAGGGACACTAACACTCTTGCTGGCTTGACAGCTCCAGAAAATAAAAAATAGCCGTATTCTAAGTACTAGATGTGTTAGTGTCCTACCTGTTGTGTAAATTATCCATTAAATCCTATTTTACTTGTTTAAAGGGTTCAAAAATATTTTTAAATCCAAGTCACATTTGAAAAGCTTTACGTCAGGCTTTTCAAATCATTTAGTTGAATTTTTCCAATTTTTTAAATTAGGTATGTTAAGATGAAATTTGTATCATCAATTAATTGGAATTTTGTAAAATAGTACAATTTGTTGACCAGAATAAAGATTGGGACATATTATTCAGTTACAAGAGTGGTATTGAGCCTTTAACACAAAAATAATTATGTCAAAATTACGATTCTATTACATAATGTATCTTTCAATATAATTCGCCCACCCAGTTATATAAGTATCACAGTATAAATGATTTCTGATATCCTAATTAGAAAAACACAAAATGTGCAATAAAAAACATTTTGTTATGATCGCCTGACCTAACTTTTTGGGTGAGCAGTATTTTCTTTATTCATTCAATTATCTCTTTAATTTGAATTCGTTTTCCCCTCTAATACAATTTAGCGGTTTGTGCAACTGGTTAAAGAAAAGAAATTATATATTTATTCAATTCAGGACCATATATTTAAAATGTTTTAAATGGATCTTACAAAAAACACAGCAATACGATCTGGGATAGCAGACTGAACCAACGGTTGCGAGGCAAGATACGCCCACATTTTGCAAGAGATGGACAGGGGCCATTAATCCAGAAGTTACGGTCCGATATGCCCGAATATCGAAGGGTACCAAGATCGTTGGTTTATCAACATACTTGCGACTTCTAGAGAGTTCACAATCTTGGTATAACATACTTTTACACTGCGTACAAGGAGCGGCCATTTGTCCGGTAGTTTTGGTCGGATGTTTACGAAATTCCAACTCAACCTTAGAGTGTTCCCAAACAAATTGTGGACGGGCGGACAGGGGCGACAGCATAATACGTCCACATGAAAATGTGGGCGTATAACAAAAAAAAAGCCTAAAGGCCTATAATACTAGACATGTCATATGCAAAGTATGTACTCGTATGGTTTTGGAGTTATGATGATTTGTAAAAAGATAAATCAATAATCTCAAAAGTGTTTATTGAAAATGTTATAGGCTTATCTGAAATTAAATTTTGATGTCATAAATTTATTATTATTTCTTAATGAAGGCTTACACAACGTAAATCAAAGAAGTTTTAGGAGCCAAATGTATTTTATCTTGGGAAAAATCATTTTAATTTAGTAAGATCAATAGGCATTATCCAATAAGGAGTGTGGAACTTTGGCATTTTCAAAGTATCATTGAAAGGGTCTATAGGACTGACATTTCAAATCTAGGCATCCTAACATTGGCTATTTGGTGATTAGTTTAAAAGTTGTAAAATACTTTTAAAATTCGACAATAATGCCAAGGTCACGAAAGTAACAAGTTCAAGGCCAACCCAGCGATACATTTCGAAACGAATAATACACAAGAAACTCATTTATTTCATCCCTCTACGATAGTCTGGCTATGTGCAAACATTGTTACAACGTATAAATCTCTCCCAATCGGTATTGTAACCGTTAGTTCAACCTGTGAACAGTTTTCAGTTCCGAAGCCTATTTGCTTACTCCCTAAGTGCCCGCACCGAAAAGGTACACTGGGCGGGCGCAAGCAATTTTAACTAAAATATATTAAAATTGCATTTTAAGTTACAATCCATCTTCGTGCACCATGGAGGATTTTCATCGTGTCGAGAGGAACTCTTTTTTAGAATAATTTTTCTCCGATTACGGCACTATTTTTTGTTGATCAAATGGACATATTGCTGTGGTTCTTTTACCGACACTAAAAACACTTTTTATTGGTATGACCTATACCTGTATCGATGATTTTACATAAAGATATATGCAGTCTGATTAAAATCTTGAGAGTCGCACTGGCTCAGTGAGTAAAGCTCTAACAAGGTTTCGAGTTCCCTCTCAGTGTTGGCCTAGAAAGTTCCTCGCGATTTTCCGACTAAGTTTCTCATTGTCAATGGTGCAGGATAGAAGGCCTGGCAAGGTATAGTGTCTAGACGTTTGGGTGGAACGAAAAACTTAGCTCCCATGTACACACTAGCACGCACTTAAAATAACATTTATCATTTAGAATTCGAAATAAGAGTAGGCCGTAGTGGCGCTATGTGGGTAAAATCCCCCCCCCCCCTTATAGCACACTGAGTGGCACATGTCCGTCTTTATTAGCCCAGCTAGTGCAGAGAATCAGAACTTTTTCAATTCCATTTTCGGTCTCTTTCGCTTTACACTTCATTATATATTCCCTATTTTAAGTTTTACCGGGTTTAGTTTAAGGACCGTAAAGTCGAAACAAAATATTATAATTTGATTGTGACAAATGAATATAATGTATTCGGCCATTAGGGCTGTATAACTCGAAACCGCAGGAGTTGAATCCGAGGAGCCCATCTGGTGCCTGTTGGTAGCGACATGCACGTGGAAAACTGATACACGCAACTTACCAATTTTTCGTTCTCATCTTCAATCTCAAGTCGTGCTGCTATACAATTCCTCGTGTCCATGAACGTTTTTCTCTGTGATCTTTCTGTTAGATTGTGAATCAAAATACCAGCCACGTTAACGCATAGAAATAATATACCATTCGCTATTAACTGAAAATATACAATTTATATAACATTATGCAAGTAACACAAGTGAAGTCTCCAAATGACAAACTTGTCCACATTCGATCTTACTTTCTCACTAAATAGAAGACCCTCCATATCTATAGATAATTACTTCGAAGCGATTTAATAATGCTGTTTGAAGGCCGAGTCTAACCTTTATTAACTGAATTAACCATACATTTAAAAATCTGAAAGGTGTCCTGTTAATACACATTTTTAGAGGTGTACTAATCAGCAATTTTTGCGTCCATCACGAAAATGGGGATAGACTTTTATGAAAAGAATACAAGAGCACGGCAGAAATTGTTAGCATGTTAATTCTCAGTGAAAGATAGTGTAATGTGTTCTAATGCATACTTTAATTTTAACAGGAATTCCCATCGGCTGAAGCCTAACTGATAAAGGTATGCCCCGAGCGAAAGGCCCTGAGTAGATTTTCCAGTCAAATATCTATCTTCCTGACATACAATATTATTGATTTATTCATCTACACTTAGTTCAATCGATCACATTAGCCATTAATACAAACATATTATAATGGTTCATTACATTTTTGGAAATGGAATTCGCTATGCCTTATTCGCAGCTGAAATGTATAGAAACAGTGTCTAGTTGTTCGGATGGTACAAAAAAGCTGAAGTCCCGTGTACACGTTGGCGTGTAAGTAAAAGAACCATTGATAGTTGGAATTCGAAATAAGAGTCGATGGTAGTTCATGGCGTATGCCTGTCGTCATTAGCTTGTATCGATCAGAAAATTAGAACGTTAAACTCCTTTTCATTTCATTAAAAATAATAGTAGTAATGATACCATTTGTTACAGACAAAATATATATCATTCCATACCACAATAAGTTGGTACTGTATAGTTTCATGTATCCTTATTAATAAAACTAGGCAACGACAAAATACCATTATAAAAAGAAAGAGAAGAATTTTGATACTGTGATGAACGCCTTTAATACTTGTTGGATTTAAGTATATGATACGAACACAACGCCAACTCCAAGTACCAGATTACCTTGGAAAGCTGAAGTAATTATTGACTTCGTATATTTTGAATCTCTTAGTCAATCAACCAGCATTATCAAATACAATGGGATTGAGTGTGATTCCGTCAATTGTACACCTGGTACTGCTTTCCAGTGGGGGAGTTCACGTAACTAACAATGTTTTGTTGTACTTTTGCACATAATACAACCTTTGTCTGCGATATAACCCTGGGTGAAAGCGGGCGTTAAGGCCCACAAACAACCCGAATGCATATTTCGTTAAAATTTCCAACAGGAAATAACATTTGCTATTGATAAAATGATAAAATCGAAAATAAGGCATACAACTGATTATCTTAACAACAAATTATCTATTAAATAAATAACCTTAAAAAATCAACATCACAAGTAGATTATACATTAACCACTTGATCCATGAATGTTTTAGTTCTTAAACAATATTGATTAAATTGGTTAAGTCTGAGATTTACAATTCTCGTGACTAGGATCAAATCGTGATTTTGATCATGGGGATTTGTAGTTCATTTCTTCAAATAATGTAGCGCGCTATCCTAACATACATGGTATTTAAATTAACGATGTATTATCTAAGAGTTAAATATGCCCATTGCATGTTTTTTATTATTTTGGCTTAAAATGTTATATAAATTATTCTTTAGACATTTATTCATATGACAAGCCTTTAATCAACATTCTAGATCATCGGATGGCACAGATGTAAACGGATTAAAATACGATCGCCATTTAATGATTTAATTTAAAAATCGAGAAGTGAGACTGTGTGTCGATTTTAATCAGGTATAACAATGTATGACAAAACTGCAAACAGTGATAAAGTCGCGCAGAATAAAGTAATTTGAATAAATTTTCAATATGATAATTTTGAATTTTCTATTTTGGAACTATATAGCAAGAACGGCCAGCTTTTTATCTAAATCTTACATAATGCATCTTTAATATTTTATTTACATGGGTTGGGTTGTTTGTTTGTTTTTTTTTAGGGTTTTGTTTTTTGGGCGAATATCAAAATAATTTAAATAGACATAACATAATACCTAATTTTGATGGCCCTGTTGATTCCATGTACGTGAATTGTCCTTTTAAATTCAGCAACTATTATTTGAATAGGGTTTTTTTTTTCATATATATATAAATACGCCCAGACTTCATTATAGTGAGCTGTGTGGTGTTGTTGATGTTGTTGTTTATGTTTTAAGTGAATTGTGCTTTGTAATTGAGCGATTGTCCTTGATATTACGGTCTGAGCGCTGTTGATGCTATTGTTTATTACTTAAAAAAAACAAAACACTGAAATTAAATTGATTCATATGTTGAAGGGATATAACAATTGAGGTCATGGCGTATTATAATATGATATTGTGGTCTATGGAAAACAGTCATATTTTATCTATTGTAGCATACACATATTCTACAGGCTGCTCAAGTTGCTTGTATACTCCCCAATGAACACTTATGCTTGGGCTTTATGGTATTGCTTGCCATACAGGTTCAATGATGCCGTCTACGATAAATAGAATAAAATACACATAAATGTCAAATTACACGCGATATATTAGATATGTCACATTTCAAAGGTATCATGGAACCTCGGGTAGATACATATAAGGCTTCTTTAAACCTGTTTGAACAAATCAGTATTAGCTGTTTTCCATAAGCACGCGTATAAATGGCCATTTTACTTTGTCTATATTTTATCTGCCATGCCAGAAGTCATGACAATCGTCTGATACAGATTAAAATCGCTGATGATCTCCTTCCTCCGGCCTTTTGGTCGAAAGGGGCTTGCTGTCATAAACCCAGCCCTAAAACCTGTAGCCTTGATTGTCAAGTATGTACTCTATTTTACCACCGTTGCAAACGAGGGCTTTGAACAACAACTGGGCTTGAGACATGTGGATTCTTCTCAAATACCCATTGTCTTGAGAGGGTTGACGAGAATGCAAACGACGATAATTTTCTAATATTGATAGGAAACGATACATAAATCAAAGTTTTCTCATTATGAGGTAGACCTAGCTGGGATTTCTTTTTTCAATAAACGATCTTTTTGCGAACTTTACAGAACCCTCGACTACCGGTTTACAACGATATCGTATTATGAAATCCTATAGTTCAATAGATTGTAATTGACAAATGCATTAAAACCGCTGTCTAAACACATTATTTACATTAATCGAATTCTAAAAATTCCGCTAATTACGTAATTGGATAAATTTGGTCTCATGCGACCGAAACGTATCGGAAATATACTGACAGGGATTGATTACTAGAGATAAAAATATAACAATATCCAATAAAGACAGGCAAAGTTGGATATTGTTAATATTTAGTTCCAGATGAAAACTAAAACACTGTGATGTTTGAACATGATAATTAAAACTATATAGATTAGTTTCGTTTACAATGACATTTTTAAACGAAACGTAATTAAACTTGTTTTAGGTTCGTTCCTAGCTTCCATATTGTGTTCAGTCGCTTGGATGATGCAAAAAGTGATACACTTTGATGTGTTGAACACACAACATGTGATACGTAATTTATTGTATATCCTTATTTCTGATATTATCTGATTCTTTTTTTCTGAAAACAACTTTTATAGAATACAATTTCAGATCGAATCTCATTATTTTGATTCTTACTATTTCTCTAATACAAGTAATATCAGTTAATGTCCATGTAACTCAAAGCATAATTTTAGCACAAATCCAGAGGCATACTTAATATCAATATCGCCCAACTCTAAATCCATGGATTGTTTATTTGTAGGCTATATAATGTTTCTAATGATTATTATCTATGACAGTTCTCTCCTATTTTCCACTTTATTCCTCATTGATTTTTACGTCTACATACACTAATTCATCTAGACGTAATTATATTAAGGAAACATTCATTTCCTACCCGGCTTTAACAGATGTTAGTATTAGAGAGCAAATAAAAACATACTACAAGATTTCATTTACACACAAAACATTGCAGATAAATAATCCAATCTTTATTAAACTCAGACAACACATATTCTCTGATCAGTAAGTATAGGGCATGTTTTAAGGGAGAACAAATGTTGGCTAACTTGGTTTGACAGTTGGGATTCTGTTGCATTTGTATACTGAACAGACTATACATGAGTACATAGAAGCAAACCCAATGAAGTGTAAGTATCACATTACAGCCCTCAACATGGATCATGCATCGGATCCAGTATTATTACCGCCTAGAAGGGGATAATAATAACGAAATAGGCGGTAAACCGCAACTCGCTTTTACCGTTAGGTTTTTTTATGACCTCCATCAAGGGGATATAAAGGACAACAGGGGGCTTTTGTTATCAAGTCAGTTTTCAAGACCCTAACCCTAACCATCATACCATAAGATACGCATATTCTGGAAAGTGTGCCTGTATGTCCACATGACGGAGGTAATAAATTTACCAAACGGTAAAAGCGGGTTGCAGTTTAATTACATTTATTTCGTTATTATCATCCCCTTCTGGGCGGTAATAATACTGGAACGGGTGGATCATTAAAAAATGACTGATCAAAACGACTGATTATTGATAATATTGTTTGAATATCGTGGTTTTGTTCTAAATTATATATTGTATTGATTCATTGCTTTTATCGCGCCATTAGGCTTATCTGTGAGAAGGCGGTACGTACAGTATACATGTACATATGTAGCCAAACCGGTCGCCACAACCTACATCTTACTACATATCTTAGTAGCCTTGTGATCGTCTTGTATATTCACCTGTCGTCTTTGCTTCCACTTCAGGGGGGGGGGGGGGGGTGACCGAATGGTTAGCACGTGCGCGCTGTATCATAAGACCTGTCATTGAGTCAACTGGCGTGGTTTCGAATCCCCTGTTGTACGTGACAAGGATTAGGGTCGCCTGTCCAACCTCGTGGGTTTTCTCTGGGTCCTCCGGTTTCCTCCCACTGTTAAAGACCCC